TTCTCAGAACTCAGTGTTTACAAAGTAAATAAAACGCTCCACCAGCTGAGCGACGCGCAAAAAAAAGATCTTACAAAAGTTGAGATTATTCACTGGGCAGAAAAATTTGCTCGCTTGTTTGACAACTGGTGGATGTTTCAGACTGTATCCTGCATAAGAAGCCAGTCGGCCGCCCTCGGAAAAAAAAGCAGCTATTAACTCATATCCTGCAAGCTCAGCATATCTGTGCTTGGAATTGTGGCATCTAAGTGCACTTAGGCTCTGTGTTTTCTGCGATTTAAATAAAATTAACTGTATAGAGGGATTGATAGAAACAAAACAAATCCCGCTATTCCGAAACTACTTGAGGAAGAGTTTTGCCAGACAACGGAAGCTGGCTTCTGAACATTTCCGTTGCCCTGGCCTCCTGCGATCCGAGAAATCTCAAATACGCAACCGGACTTTAAAGTCTTGAAAACTGTCGACATTTAGCCCTCATATCAGGAACTACCTCTATTCTCCTAGGTTTTTGTCTGCCTCCGCTCTCTCGGTGCTTCCCCCGACTCTCGTTCTTAGAAGGAATGAGGTCGAGTGCAGCAGAAACGCAAATCAACCTGATGCAAGGACGAGCAATCATTATCGAATAGACAGGGCGGGAACTGATAACGCTCGAGAGGTGCTGATAAACGGAGAAAATAGCAAGCACAAGACATTTTAATGAGTCACTGTAGTGTCGAAGTATACGTAAAATGCTAGGATAGTTGCAGTTCATAGTGTGGTCTGTCAACTACGTAGACGGGACTCTTTCAGTTGCTTTGACCAATGCTGAACTGACTACTGACCACTGGCTACTCGCAACCTTACAGCGGGGTATAAATAACCCAGTCTAGAAATCGCCAGGCTTGCCGGTACGATCATGCGTTTTTGCCTTAAATTCGCAGGTCGCTAAAAGCAAGAATGTTCTCTGCGACGTAGCCTAACACCTGGACTCATACTGGCCGCGCTTTGGCCTCTTCCGGCACGCAGGAGAAAGGGCGTCGGTTGGGATGAAAGTGTTGAATTATAGGGCCGCATGGATCTTCAAGTACGTGATTACCAGTTTTTATGCGTTTTTGCTTATATGTAAATTGCAAAAACGCGTATTGCAACGACCCTGTGTGTGTATG